TAAAGAACCAGGAAACAAAAGTTCCATAATTCCAGTGGTCAATTAAAACTTTAAAAGTCTTTACACAGTGGTGAACTTTTGTCGAGTATTCGTGTAATAATGTATTTGACTGTAGTCTTGTATGTCTGAGCACCAGACTCTCACAAACACACACACACCATGCGTAACAAATGACCTGAACGATGCCTTCAGAGTAAACTTTGGCAGTTTTATATCATTATTGCCATGCTCTAAAATAATTCTAAGAATAATTTCAAATGAAAATAAATGGCTCTACACTTTTCAACAGCCCAAAAGTTTCACAGTGGATGATAAAGACTATCTCTCTTTATTATTGTTTGAGTTGTTGTCTGTCAGTCCCTCACACTCACACACACACACACACAGTACTCATCCTGAAACTCTGCCAGCTCGCCTTCTGTTCTCGTCCGTTTACAGAACACACCGTCCTCCTGGCCATTTTTGAAGACAGCAAAACTGGCGAAAAAACACATAACCTCAAGTGCAATACCTTAGCATATTCAGATCTGATTGGCATAATTGCCATTATTCATAGATGGTAGATTATTATACATAGAGATTTGTAATATTTCATTTGCATGATGAGTTTTACATACGCAAATCACTATTTATATATGGTAACAGATACACATCATTCCGCTGTTATTCCATGGATTGATTTTACTATTTAAATTCATCGACAGAACACAATTTTAATATTGACATCTTTATTGCACCTGCATTTCTTAGCAGCATGCTTTAAAATAGCGTGCTTGCAATGACAGTGTTAACTAGATTTCTGATTCTAAATATATCTAAGTAAATGTACATTGGTCATATTATATCTTCTGCGAATTATAATGAGCAGACATGTTTCTTTACGTTGCAGCACAGTCAGGGAGTGAGACTTCTCTCATTCACAATGCATCAATTCTTCCACTTCTCTCAAAAGACATGAAAGTAAGTGGCCGATAAAACTGGGAGAAGAATTAAAGTGAAACACATCGTCAAAGAGAAAGTAAAACACGTCAAATTATGTTGAAAGGCTATTCTCTCAATGGTTACAACTGTGTATTTTGACAAACTATAATTGTCATTTGCTACTACGTCTGAAACATAAACATTATGTAGTTAAAAACACAGAGCATGTCCATCTGTGGCTGAGCACCAGTCGTAGCGTGAAAGCTGGCTTGAGTTTAGCAGTCTGGCGAATGTGATCGTATTGCGGGCCGGTCAGAGGGCAGTAGATTTCAGACCCCTGGCTTACCGTCTGTCAGAAAGCACGAGACAAATCCTTCACAATGGACACTCGTTTCTTAAAATTCTTTAAAAAATCAAAATTTGTGGCTCACACCTTGGGCTGACTGCATCACCTCCTGCAATGTTTTGCCATGCATGAAGCAGCTCACATTCCTGGCACTGATGCAGTGAGGATAATGCATTAGTAGTAATAGTGCATTGGTAGAACTGAATATGCAATGTAGTGATGTAGGCATCGCCATCGGATGCAAGCAAGCGCTGAACAATCTCTGTGTGCTAAACATGAATCAGTTGTGTCAACTCTTAATAATGACCATATCTTTTGACATGTTTGTGTGCAGCAAAGCACTCATTTAGTATATGAGAGTTTGAGACACTAAATCGCACTCACGCAGTTCATCCACAATCAAATGTCTAATATGCGTGAATCAATGGCGTATGAGCATCTGGGCCTGTGTAGGTGCAGACCGGACGGAGGAACTGGACCGTGGAGCAGTGGAAGACCTTGTGTAGGGTCTGTGGAGTCCTGTTTTCTTCTTACATGGATCTTGTGGATGCTTGAGTTTGTGTCCACTGTTAACTTGGGCATGTGATGGCACCAGGATACACTGTGGGAACATGACAAGCTGGTCGAGGGACTGGGAGGTTCTGGGAATTGATCTGACATAATTACAATAAAAAAGTGTAAGTGTTATGACAAAGGTTTTACATCAGTGGTATTAAATGCCAAGTCATGACAGATTGGGACATGCTGTGTTTTGGGTGATGTGTGCTTCTGAATGAGATATGTGCACCTTCATAGAGTGGATCAAGATTTAGCGATTAACAACTGCAGCTGTATTCTGTTCCTCAAACATAACTATTGGAAACCGTCAATGAGCACTCTGAATGCAACACGGCGTCATTTGGACTACTTTGGTGCTGCTATATAATTCTATATTGTAAATAAAATTATTACTCTATATTTGTGATGTTTTTTATATTTTTCTATATTTGATGTTCCTGTGGCTCAGTGGTAGAGCATTGCGTTAGCAGCGCAAAAAGTTGTGGGTTCGATTCCCAAGGAACACACATACTGGTAAAAAATTTATAGCCTGAATGCACTGTAAGTCGCTTTGAATAAAAGTGTCTGCTAAATGCATAAATTATTATTATTATTATATTTCTCTGCCTGTTTTTGTTTTTTACATTGTTGAAAAGTGGTTTGAGGCTTACTCCTCAGGCCAGAGCAGAAGAGAAATGCAGGGAATAAATAGAAGGAGTTTGTGTATGTGTGTAAGTACACTGGTTTAAAGTTGTTGAGTTGTTAAAGGGATCGTTCACCAAAAAAGGATCTGATTGTATTCGTCTGAAAGAAAAAAGTTATACACAGCTAGGATGGCTTTCATTTTTGGGTGAACTATCCCTTTAAGTCAGGGGTGCCCAAACTCGGTCCTTGAGGGCCGGTGTCCTGCAGAGTTTAGCTCCAACTTGCCTCAACACACCTGCCTTCAAGTTTCTAGTCTGCCTAGTAAGAGCTTGATTCGCTGGTTCAGGTGTGTTTAATTGGGGTTGGAGCTAAACTCTTCAGGACACCGGCCCTCCAGGACCGAGTTTGGGCACCCCTGCTTTAAGTGTTGTCAGCAGGGACACCTGCTTCTAGAACGCTGCGATGGTCTCAGACGTTTGGGTGGAGGTTGGCAGCTCATTCCTCCAGAGAGGAACAGACAGAGGGTTTTGACTGGGAGCCAGTGGAGTGAGATCAGGAGGCCTGTGACGTGGATCTGACTTTGCTTGTCTTCACAAGCTTGAGTTGCAGATGTCCAAAAGCAGGGAGAGACACAAGCTGAGATGGTGGGATCATCAGGTTGAAACGACACATGTGTAAGCTGTGTATCATGTGCGTAGCAGCGGCAGGAGAAGCCTTGTTTCATTATTATTGTGCACAAATAAAGAAAAAAAAAAGATTCATGCAGTGATTTCGACTCACCTGGGCTACTATGCATGAAAGAAAATGTAAGATAAAGCTGGGAAGAATAACATGTTAAAAAATTATTGTACTGTCTTAACACATGAACGTCGCTAGTGTTATATGCTCAAGCAAGTTGTGTGCTCTTTCTCCTCAGCTTCACAAAGCAAAAGAGTGTATCAGAGTGAGGATGGTCCTTATGTGCCTAATGGACAGCCGTCCTGCTGCTCCTCGGAGGACTGGCGTGTAGAATTAGTCTCGAAGAATAAAGCCACACAGGTCTAATGGAAGTATCATTACTTGCCATGCTTATATGTGTAATAAATTTAAGACATTCTTTACATTCTGTTAAATAAGCATTTCAGTTTTGATGTTTTATTATGTATATATTGACCCTGTAATAGAAAAGGGCCTTGAACACTAAACTTGGTAAAAGTGGTGTTGATGTGATATTTGGATGACAAATTTTCACTTAGACATCAGAAATAACAAAACTTTGTGATCTCCATCTGTGTTCCTTGACGCTGATGAGGAGATCTTCCCATAGGGAGACCAGGATTGTCTCATTAAGACGAGCACATGTGCCCATGCTGCCAACTCCTTTAAATACACATCCAATTAAAAATGTGTGATTACATAAGATCGCACATGATCAGCCAACATGAACACCAGAGTGTCGTGTCTGAAAGAAGAAGCCGTGCTAATGCATTTGCAAGGTCTACATGTTCATTTGTCATGTCTGTATCATTTTTGGTACCTGTGCAATTATGAGTTTGTTTGTTTATTTATTTCAAGATGTATTTCCTCTCCATGGTAAAGAAAAATCCTTTCACAAGGTCGTTGGAAACTCGCTGATATCTGACAAAAACTCTGCATGATCATGGACAAAACTCGCTTGATTTTTGATTTGAGGACCTTTTGAGCCCTACTTTTTTACTGCTAACAAACTAAAAAAAAAGCCCTACAATTTGAAATAAGACAAATTGGAGCTGCCATATTTAGGGCTGGTTGTTGATTATCTTTTGACGTTGTCTTCTTACCTGTATCTTGTTACTAAAAAGTATCCTTTGATGTTGTACATTGCTTGACTTGCTTTTTCTGATAACACTAAATCAACACTCATAAGAAGCTTTGTCGTATTCTCCTTATGAGCGAACACACGGTGCCACTGTTTGAGTTTTTTATGTCTTCAGTGCACAGTTTTTCTCAGTCTGTTGTTCTATGACACAAAGTGTTTTTTGTGTGCCATCTATGGCTTTTAGAAAGTCTCTTTGTATGCGATTTATCATCTGTGATGATTTGTGAGGATTGAAGCCCCGGTTCGCTCCTTCATCAGTGTGGATGTCCTAGCAGGCATTGATTTCCCTGTCTGTCCGCTTGGCAGTCGTCAGAGAATGTGTCAGACCGGGTGATTTAAACTGTAAATCATGGTTACATCATTCCGTTCAAGTGAACCCTGGTGATATTCAAAGGGGTAACTCATACAGCGATATCTGTTCAGGAAACCCGTTTTCCAGGATGGGAAATCCATTCTCTTCTGGAAAGGGCTGCAGAGGAGGTTCCCCTCATCAGAGAGAGTGCAGTTTTTACATGTTCTTGTGCCCAAAAACGATGACAGTATGCGTTCTATTGTGGATCTAAGAAATGCATGGAACCTGCGGATGCCTGGAACGATTGGCTGCTGCTAGCACATGCTGAGAGCTACACAACATTGAAACACTGTCACACTGATCACATGTTCATGCCATGAAACGACTGACTTATTTATTCTTCTGGCTGTTTCTCTCTGCAGTTCTGGAATCATGCCGAAGCACGTGGAGGTTAGGGTGCACGAAAGCCACCTGGAGCCCATCGAGGCGAGGCCAAGCTCCAAATTGGGAACAATATGTCAGAAGATGTGCAAGAACCTGCTGCTCACGCTGACTGTGATGGGTGAGTGCTCTTCAACAATCCACAGTGAGGAAAGGGAACAGCAGACAGAGAAAAGAAGACAGCACACATAGCATGTTCTGATGGTATCTGGACAGTAAAGGCTCAGAAGAGAGCAGGTGACAGTACATTTTAGTATAGTTCTGAAGCACTGCTGGATACAGAGAGAAAACAGAGGAAGTTACTTTTATATTGCATTGTTGAAGTAATTGAATAGGTGAATATATTCCTGTGGAGTCTTTGGAAGGTGTGGATGGCAGATAGTATTTCCGTGAAGAGATCCTGAGTGGGCAAGTGTGAGGCATTTGTGTGATTATGTGTGTTTCAGGATATAAAAAAACAAGCTTCTTTTTAGGATTATCAAGGCAGAAAGTGCAGTGCCTCAGCAGGGGTGCGTTAGTTCTGTAGAGACTGTTAGGTACAGTAGGTGGTGGCAGAAGAGTGACTTCACTCGACACAATATCTGAAAACGTCCCGTATGACTGTCTGGACCGGCATTCCCAGACTCTTAACTGGGTGGTATGATTTATTTGTTTGGAATCGCATATGGCCACATATTTATCTATACCTTTAAAGTATGCTCAGGAATATTTTCCAACAGAAGGAACACTCTTTTCCCCATCATAGGTGTGATTTTGGGAGCTGTTTCTGGGATGCTGCTGCGTGTGGCTTCTCCGATCGATGACAACATTGTCATGGTAATTGCCTTCCCTGGAGATATTCTAATGAGGATGCTAAAAATGCTCATCCTTCCCTTAATCATCTCCAGCTTAATCACAGGTAACACAAACCTCATCTTTTAATAAGCTGTCAACAATTAGATTGAAAATGTTAAATACATTGGTGAAACCACAAACAACTAATTCTGCTGATAATTCCTGCCTGGGTGTGTTATATTATACTAACAAACAGAGGGGCAAACAGTGAGAGAGAAAGAGAGGTCATCCTTAAACCTTAGGCCTTTTCAAAACATGCTCATCCCTTTCATTTAATTAAGCCAAGATCTACTGATGTAGAGTGACGTGAGAAGAACTGTGCTCCATCTTTTTAAGATTATCTTCTCACAGATTCTGTTTGCTGTTGCTTCTGCTTTATAGTTCTTTACTGTATTTAAGGTTTTCTGAATTTGGTTATCAAAAACTGTTCTTTAATTTCTGTGCATTCAGTTTAACACTTAGAGAAGTGATCAGTGATTAGATTTTGTGTCAAGAAAGGCCATTGCTTGTGCCCTATATTGGACTTGTGTTCGTTTGATCATGTCACCTATGAAGCGTTGTTTCAAAATGAAAACACAGAATTAGACTGTCACAAGTTCAAGCAGCCGAAGTCTGCAGAAATAAATAGAGGTAGAGATAGAAATAGAGGGGAAGTTAAAGGTCTGAAGTAGGATGCTATTAAAAGTTTTGGGGGGAAATTTTCATACGGTTAGAATATTATATATAATATGCAATTACGGATGTATGCTGTATTACATAGTAAAACATCCTGTTTAAGTTAGTTGAGTGATGTTAGTAGTGCCAGTAGTTGTCTAGAGTAGTCTAGACTTCGATAATAACTGCACTAACAATTTAAAAAAGTATCTGCTTATAAACGGAAGGACACACTTTATTTAGGGTACCAGTTCTCACTATTATTAACTAACTATGAACTACGACTTCTTCATCACTAACCTCCAAATTTGCTGACTATTAGGCCTAATAGTTAGTAATGTTGTTAAGTTAAGGTATCGGGTCGGATTAAGGGATCTAAAATATGATCATGCAGAATAAGACATTCATATGTGCTTTATAAGTACTAATAAACAGCCGATATGCTAGTAATATGCATGCTAATAAGCAACTAGTTAATAGTGAGAATTGGTCCCTAAAGTGTACACGTATTTCAATGATTACATGTATTGTGGACATATTCAGGATATAGTTGACATCTGTATAATAAATGAAGTAAAGTGAAGTGTGGCCAAGTATGATGACCCATACATGGAATTTATACTCCACATTTAACCCATCCAAGTGCACACACACAGTCGTGAACACACACACACACCCAATGCTGCGGCGCCCAGGGAGCAGTTGGGGGTTCAGTGACTTCCTCAAAGCTCTCACCTCAGTCGTGAGTTATTGAGGGTGGAAGAGAGCACTTGTTATTCACTCCCCCCACCGACAATTCCTGCTGGACCGAGACTCAAACCTGCAACCTTCAGGTTACAAGTCTAGCTCTAAATGTTTTACTAAGCCCGATAGCCATTTAGGAAATTAAAATTGGGAGAACAAATGAATACAATTAAAAGGTGGGAATTAAATAGATATCCAGCAGACAATACACATATCTCTGTGATGCTGACTGTGATTTAAAACAATACTATTTGATGTTCACACAAAAGACATATGGAAGAACTTTTATTTATTTATTTATTTTTTCTTGTGTGTCATATCTTTATATACGGCCCATATATATTTTGACACAATTTTTATGCACAATTTGTATTATTTTAGTTGCTGACCAAAACATATTCAAGTTACAGTCATATAATGAATATGGTCTTAAAGTGTACACTCTGAGCTTTAATTTGAGGGTATTCTCATCAAAATTGTAGGAAAGGTTGAGGAATTACAGCTCTTTAATATGTACCTCCCCCCTTTTTCAAGGGACCATAAGTAATTGGACAGTTGACTCAAAAGCCATTTCATGGACAGATGTGGGCTATTCTTTCGTTATTTCTACATCAATTAAACAGGTAAAAGGTCTGGAGCTGATTCTAAGTGTTTCATCTGCATTTGGAAGCTGTTGCTATGAACCACATCATACAGTCAAAGATTTCTCCATACAAGTGAAACAGACGATTGTAATCCATCAGAGAGATAGCAGGAACGTCAGGAGTGGCCAAATCAACAGCTTGGTACATTCTGAGAAAACAAGAACGCACTGCTGAGCTCAGAAACATAAAAAGAGCTGGACGTCCACGGAGGACAACAGTGCTGGATGATCAGAGGATCCTCTCCATGGTAAAGAAAAACCCTTTCACAACATCAGCCCAAGGAAGAACACTCTCCAGGAGGCAGACGAGTCTCTGTCAAAGTCTACAATCAAGAGAAGACTTCACCAGAGCAAACACAGAGGCTTCACCACAAGCTGCAAACACGACAGATTAGACTTTGCCAAAAAACATCTAAAAAAGCCAGAGCACTTCTGGAAA